CTGGGTAACAAGAGCAAAACTCCGTCTCAAAAAAAAAAAAAAAAAAAGTTAATCAACAACTTTTACCAAATGTAAACAACTTATTACTGTTCCTGCTCAGAATAAAACTTAGAAAGGAATCAGTCAATGCTAAAATAATTGTTTAAGGTTGCTGGGGAAAAGGACTCACACAGTCTCACAATATTAACCCAAGCCAGGTACGGTGGCCCACACTTGTAATCTCAACACTTTAGGCAGCCAAGGCAGGCAGTTCACTTGAGGGCAGGAGTTCAAGACACATCTGGCCAACATGGAGAAATCCTGTCTCTACAAAAAATACAAAAATAAGCCAGGTGTCATGGCACATGTCTGAAATCTCAGTTACTCGGGAGGCTGAGGCATGAGAATTGCTTGAATACAGGAGGCAGAGTTTGTGGTGAGCAGAGATCACACCACTACACTTAACCTATGTGACAGAGCAAAAGTATCTCAAAAATAAATGAAATATTTCACTGGATCATGGGCGAAAACTAATACGATTAATGTTATGGTCATTACTGGGAAAATTAAATATGAACTACATGTGCATTAGTTAACAGTATTGTATCAATTTCATGTATTTTTTTTTTTGTTTCAGAAATTCTCTTGCTTGGGCTGGAGTGCAACTGCAAGATCATAGCTCACTGCAGCCTTGAACTCCTAGACTCAAGCAATTCTCCCACCTCAGATTCTAGAACAACTGGGACTATAGGCGAGCACCAGCACACTCATCTTTTATTATTATTTTTTAAACTGAGTCTCACTTTGTCGCCCAGGGTGGAGTACAGTGGCACAACCTCAGCTCACTGCAGCCTCCAGCTTCCGGGTTCGAGGGATTCTCCTGCTTGAGCCTCCCCAGTAGCTGGGATTATAGGTGCACGCCACCACACCTGGCTAATTTTTTTTTTTTTTTTTTTTGAGACGGAGTTTCGCTCTTGTTACCCAGGCTGAAGTGCAATGGCGCCATCTCGGCTCACCGCAACCTCCTCCTCCTGGGCTCAGGCAATTCTCCTGCCTCAGCCTCCTAAGTAGCTGGGATTACAGGCACGCGCCACCACGCCCAGCTAGTTTTTTGTATTTTTAGTAGAGACGGGGTTTCACCACGTTGACCAGGATGGTCTCGATCTCTCGACCTCGTGAACCACCCACCTCGGCCTCCCAAAGCGCTGGGATTACAGGCTTAAGCCACCACGTCCGGCCTAATTTTTGTATTTTTACTAGAGACGGGGGTCTCACCATGTTGGTCAGGCTGGTCTTGAACTCCGGACCATAAATGATCTGCCCACCTCAACCTCCCAAAGTGCTAGGATTATAGGCATTAGCCACCACAACCGGCCCTATTACTTTTTAATTTTTTGTAAAGATGTGTGTTGATACGTTGCCCAGGCTGGCCTCGAACTCCTAGCTTAAAGAGATCCTCCTGCCTCGGCCTCGCAAAGGACTGGGATTACAACTACAGGCAAAAGCCACTACACTCAGCCAAATTTCATGTGACAGTCGCATTGTGATTATCTCAGAGAATGTCCTTGTTCTTAGGAAATACATGAAGGATTCACAGGTGAAATTTCATGTCACAATTTACTCTCAAATTATCCAAGAACAAAATATGTGTGGTACACATGTATACACAAAGTATCTAAACATGTTCACTAGTAAATCTAGGAAAAGAATACAAGTGTGTTCACTGTACTACCTTCGCCTTTGCTGAAGGACTGAAATTTTTTAAAATAAAAAGCAATCACTGAAAATCTTTCTGCTTAAGTTTGAAATATATAACAAAAAAAGAATTTTCCGTGAAAAATAAACAGTTTAACTTACAGCTAAGAGTTGTCTTATAAGCATGTCTGAGGCTTTCTCAGAAATGTTACCAACAAAAACGGTAGTAGTGGGACCACAATTTTCATCATTTTCTTTAGTCTTTAAGCCTGGATGATCCTTTCTTGCACCCAAATGCTTTCCAACCATAGACACAGTGGGTACTAGGACCTGAAGAAAGGGAATAAAAATTGATGTCGCAATTAAATTTAATTAAAATTAGGCTAAAATTTTAAAATTAGGCTAAAAACAATTAAAATTAGGCTACTACCACAATTAAAATTAGGCTAAAAACCTCAGGATTAAATAAATATATATAGCACATTATTTAAGCTCTGCATGCTTGCCTACTTAATCTAAAGCACCTAAAATGCATAGCACATTTCATTAATGCAAACTTATTTGTGACAAGTATACTTCTACTATTAGATTACCTTTCTTCATACAAAAGAAACAAAAATAACCAAGAAAACTTTAAGAGGTAATTTTTATTTTTGTTTTTCATTTTTTGAAATGGAGTCTTCCACCTCCCGGGTTCAAGCAATTCTGCCTCAGCCTCCCAAGCAGCTGGGATTATAAGTGTGTGCCACCACGCCAGGCTTATTTTTTGTATTTTCAGTAGAGACCGTGCTGAGCCTATGTCTTAAACATTTAAAAATTATGCCCTAGGCCTAGTGTGGTGGCTCACGCCTGTAATCCAAACACTCTGGGAGGCCGAGGTGGGCGGATCATCTGAGGCCCGGAGTTCAAGACCAGTCTGGCTAACATGGTGAAACCCCGTCTCTACTAAAAATACAAATTATTAGGCTGGCGTGGTGGCATGTGCCTGTAATCCCAGCTACTCAGGAGGCTGAGGCAGGGGAATCGTTTGAACTTGGGAGGTGGAGGCTGCAGTAAGCCATACCATTGTATTCCAGTCTGGGAAACAAGAGAAACTCCATGCCCTCCCCCCCAAAAAAAAGACAAAACATTTAAAATTATCAAATATATCCAGAAGTTTTTTCACAATTGTACTCACTACCAATATAAAAGCAAATTTCAATTATCCATGCTAATTCTCTGGCAAAATATTCAAATATGTCATAGCACTCTCCCCATATTTTGCCTTTTATCAGTTATTTCTGCTATCTTATTTTCCCTTTATGACTTCCAACTTTTCCAGGGAAGAAACACATCTTTGTATGTGACACTGAACTCAGCAAACTCCCTCAGTAGGCACTGAATAAATAGTGGTAAAACAGGAGAACTGCTCCACCCCTAAATTCTAGCTTTCCCTAAGCCTGAAATACAAGGATCATTCCTATGTTCTTTAAAGAGATCAGAGATGTCACATCCTTCTCCCATCACCCAGGACCAAGATGAGAAAGCAATGAAAAGCCAAAGTCCTAAATCTGTAATAACAAGTGTATGAAGAGTCTTGAGAACAACAGGAAAATCACAGAATTATCCACTTAGGGAGCACATTGTAAGGGCAATTATATATATGCACACCTAAGTGAAAAAGACACTCAAATAAACGACATATGCTATATGCTCTCATTCTGTCCTTGCTATTCTTTTAAATACTCATAATTTATCTAAGTTTATCACGCTATTTAGCTTAAAAGCACTAGCACTACCATAACTCATGATTCCTCCTTTAAGTTGTACTTACAGTTGGCGCAGGAGCCATAATGCTCATTGGTACAGGAATCATTGGGGTCCCTAAGATAAGAAAAACCACACTGATTATGTATGACTACATTCTGTATCAACTACATGCCAAACAAGTATCTTTACTCATAATTAAGATAAGTAGAAATACAGGACAAATGAAAATGAAATACTGATACTGTCTTATTTTCAAAAGGAATGTGGTATCAGGTCGGTCCATATAAACTTACAAAATGCTACTTCAACATGCTTTTGACTTAAGGAGTATAAAATTCTGTATATTTATTCAGGTTCATACGGTTCAGTAATCCTCAAAACCAACATCTTTCACAAATACAGACTGATTTATGGGTGAACAATGGTATTAAAGATCCTTTAAAAGTAAAAACAGGCCAGGCACAGTGGCTCAAGCCTGTAATCCCAGCACTTTGGGAGGCCAAGGTGGGTGGATCACACGGTCAAGAGATCAAGACCATCCTGGTCAACATGGTGAAACCCCGTCTCTACTAAAATACAAAAAATTAGCTAGGCATGGTGGCACATGCCTGTAATCCCAGCTACTTAGGAGGCTGAGGCAGGAGAATTGCCTGAACCCAGGAGGCGGAGGTTGCGGTGAGCTGAGATTGCGCCATTGCACTCCAGCCTGGGTAACAAAAGCGAAACTCCATTTCAAAAAAAAAAAAAGTAAAAACGGTCAGGTACAGTGGCTCACCTATAAGCCCAGCTTTTAGGGAGGCAGATGTGAGAAGTTAGATTGAGCCCAGGAGATTGAGACCTGTCTGGCCAATAAATAGTGAGACCCCGTTCTCCCAAAAAACAGGAAAAAAAAAAAAAAAAAGTAAAAACACATTGTACAACACTGTGATACAGTTAGTAGCAATGCATATTCTTAAAAACTACTGAGAAAACCTATACTTAAAATCTAGAGTGTTCTCACTACAAAAAAATAAGCATGTAAAGTAATACACCATGTGTTAATTAGCTCAATTCAGTTACTCCACAACATACCTGTTATCTCAAAATGTTGTACATGATAAATACATACGATTTTGTCAAATAAAGTAAAAACAAATCCTTTGGAAGTTGTTTTTTTTTTGTTTTTGTTTTTCCTGTAGAAATCTGTTTATGTAAAGTTCAAAAACAGGCCAAACGAATCAAAGATGATGGAGCTCAGAAAAATTGCTATGTTTGGGAGGTAATGGCTGAGAATGGGCAGGACTGAGGCTCTGAGGTGTTGCCATTATTCTACATCTTCATTTGCCGGTGGTTACAAAGACGTTTACAACATAAATATCTATCAGGCTGTATACACCTTTTCCCACTTTTTGAATGTATGCTATACTTTACTAAAAGTTTACTAAAAAGTAAAAATAAAATAGACACTGCACTTCTTGTTAGCAAAATAAAACCACGGCAGGTATTTTGGTAAATAGGTAAATATTCTATTTTTCTCATCTTCTACTGTTGCTGATGACGGGGATGGTATTCAGGTGAATGCTTTGTCGATTAGAATATCATTTTGCTTTAGCCTGTGCAGCCAATGCGGTTTCTTCACGCAACTTAGCCTTCTTTGCCAAGTTCAAACTTGCTAAGGATTCATGTCGTTCTACAGCCCTTTTGGCTGACACTGTCACAGCAAAGCAGGCAATAATTGTGAGTCCAATCATTACGTAACAAACTTTCACTCGAGCTTTGTTTCTTGCAGTGTCTATCATTTCTGGCGGGACCCGAGGCGGGATCTCTTCCATCAATTTGAATCGCCCGGTCCACACCAGGATTTTCTTGTCAAACTGCGAAGGCCTGTGCTGCGCAGGGACTCCGTGAACCTCCCCGCGACCTCTGAGCACAGAATTGCTGGGGGCCGCGCTGCTGGTGTACCAGGGGAGACCCCACGGCAGAAGAGCCAGTGGGGGTGGCCGCGTGGCCTTGACAGGCGCCCCGGGCGCGCAGTGGACGGTTACTCCGCGGCCACGGCGCGTCGAGAACATGCTGCCTGCTAGTCGCGGGCCACACCCGCACTTTCCGGCCCAGCCTCTGGCATTCTCCTAGCAGCTCTCCCCGCCCAGGCCAGGCCCTGCGCGGCCCGCTGCACCCTGTAGAGCCTGGGACGCGCAGCTGGAAGCCCTGGCGCTCGCACTCATGGAAGCTGTTTTAAGCACCAAATATGTGGAAATCTAAGAAGAATCTTGTTACTCCTGGTTCTTTCATAGAAAATAACCATCATGGGCCGGGCGCGGTGGCTCAAGCCTGTAATCCCAGCACTTTGGGAGGCCGAGGTGGGTGGATCACGAGGTCAAGAGATCGAGACCATCCTGGTCAACAAGGTGAAACCCCGTCTCTACTAAAAATACAAAAAGTTAGCTGGGCATGGCGGTGTGTGCCTGTAATCCCAGCTACTCAGGAGGCTGAGGCAGGAGAATTGCTTGAACCCAGGAGGCGGAGGTTGCGGTGAGCCGAGATCGCGCCATTGCACTCCAGCCTGGGTAACAAGAGCGAAACTCCATCTCAAAAAAAAAAAAAAAAAAAAAAAAAAGAAAATAACCATCATGGGCCAGACACGGTGGCTCATGCTTGTAATCCCAGCACTTTGAGAGGCCAAGATAGGTAAATCACCTGAAGTCAGGAGTTCGAGACCAGCCTGACCAACACGGTGAAACCCTGTTTCTACTAAAAATACAAACATTAGCCAGGCATAGTGGTACACGCCTGTAATCCCAGCTACTAGGGAAGCTGAGGCAGGAGAATCACTTGAACCTGGGAAGCGGAAGCTGCAGTGAGCTGAGATCATACCACTGCACTCCGGCCTGGGTGACAAGTTCAAGACTCCTTCCACAAAATAATAATAATAATAATTGTAGTTACAGCTACTCTAGAAGTTGAGGCAGAAGGATCCCTGAGCCCCAGAGTTCAAGGCTACAGTGTGCTATTATCATGCCTGTGAATAACCACTGCACTCTACCCTAGGAAACACAGCAAAATTCTATTTAAAAAAAAAAGGGTGGGGGGCAGGGAGTCAGGGACACAGTAGTTCACACCAGTAGTCTAAACACTTTGGGAAGCCAATACGGGCAGATCGCTTGAGCCAACACAGCAAAACCCATCTCTACAAAAAATACAAAAATTAGCCAGGCTCGGCCAGGCACGGTGGCTCACGCCTGTAATCCCAGGACTTTGGGAGGTCGAGGCAGGCGGACCACGAGGTCAGGAAATGAAGACCATCCTGGCCAACATGGTGAAACCCCGTCTCTACTAAAAATGACAAAAATTAGCTGGGCGTGGTGGTGCGCACCTATAGTCCCAGTTATTCAGGAGGCTGAGGCAGGAGAATTGCTTGAACCCAGGAGGCAGAGGCTACAGTGAGCTGAGATCATACCACTGCACTCAAGCCTGGTACCTGGCAACAGAGAGACTCTGTCTCAAAACAAACAAACAACAACAACAAAAAAAACAAATTAGCCAAGCTCTACAGGAGATGCTGGAAAGAAAAAAAAAATTAGCCAGGCATGGTAACACTGCTCATAATCCCAATTACTAGGGAGGCTGAATCAGGAGAATCCCTTGAACCCAGGAGGCAGAGGCTACAGTGAGCCATGACTGCACTACTGCACTCCAGCTTAGGTGACAGACTCTCTCAAAAAAAAAAAAAAGGAAACAAATTTAAAATCTTTTTATAAACCCAATCTACTGGTAAGAAAATTAAAACACAGGCCGGGTGCAGTGGCTCACGCCTGTAATTCCAGCACTTTGGGAGGCCGAGGCAGGCAAATCACCTGAAGTCAGGAGTTCAAGACCAGCCTGACTAACATGGTAAAACCCTGTCTCAAAAAAAAAGAGGAAAGAAAGAAAATTAAAACACAGATTTTCATTAATCATCTTTTCTGAGTTTAAACAAGTGATTAAGCTTACTCCCACCCACTACCTCCCCACAAGACAGGTCTTCCCTATGTTGTCCAGGCTTCTTGTTTTGAATTCCTGGGTTTGAGAGACATTCTGGCCTCAGCCTCCCACAGAGGTGGGATTACAGGTATAAGCCACCATGCCCAGCCTATAATTTCTAGAACACCTGGGCTTTGCATCAGGGTCATATCAAAAAATGGATCTGACTCAGGCATGGTGGCAAACATCTATAGTCTCAGCTACTCAGGAGGCTGAGGCAAGAGGATCAGTTGAGCCCAGGAGATGGAGGCTGCACTAAGTTATGGTTGTGCCACTGCACCCCCAGCCAGGGAGACACAGATCCTGTCTCAAAAAAAATGAAGGATATATGGACCAAAGAGAAAACTAATGCCCAAATGAAAGTTACTAGATCACTTTCCTCCTGTAACTAACTATTAATGTGTTTGATGGCTGATAACTAATTTTATTCAGTTTTCTGCAACATTTACTCAAATACAATTTCCATTCAGCAAAATTTTTTTTAAAGAAGACATTTTTTTTCCAAAGGGCCAGCTAGAGCCTTTCTGCAGAACTTATTGTCTATTTATGGTCCATTATAGAACAACTAAATTACTATGTAAAATCAGTGGATTTTAAGTCGCTATGTAAAATCAGCAATTGTTGGCTGGGCATGGTGGTTCATGCCTGTTATCCCAGCACTTTGGGAGATGGAGGTGGGATGATTACAAGGTCAGGAGTTCAAGACCAGCCTGGCCAACATTGTGAAACCCCATCTCTCCTAAAAACACCAAAAAAATTAGCTGAGTATGGTGGTGTGCACCTATAGTCCCAGCTACTCGGGAGGCCGAGGCAGGAGAATCACTTGAATCCAGAAGGCGGAGGTTGCAGTGAGCCAAGATGGCACCACTGCATTCCAGCTTGGGTGACAAAACAAGACTCAAAAGAAAGAAAAAAAAATCAGTAACTGGCCAGGTGCCATGCCTCATGCCTGTAATCCAAGGACTTTGGGAGACTGAGATGGGGCAGATCACCTGAGGTCAGGAGTTCAAGATCAGCCTGACCAACATGTTGGAACCGTATCTCTACTAAAAATACAAAAGTTAGCTGGATGTGGTGGTGAGCTCCTGTAACTCCAGCTACCCAGGAGGCTGAGACAGGAGAATCACTTGAACCCGGGAGGCGCAGGCTGCAGTGAGGCAAGATCACGCCATTGCACTCCAGCCTAGGCAACAAGAGTGAAACTGCATCTCAAAAAAAAAAAAAAACTTTCCTGATGAGTTTAATACTCAGCCAGAATTAAAAACTACTGCTACAGGAAAATGAGACATCTACATTTCCAGAATGATGCCAACAGATATCTTCACTAACATGGTCACATATCTAACATTTTCCTGAAGTTAATATCACAAAGACAAAAGTACAAGTTCGATGACAAAAAACAGTATGAACAAACTTACCTGGAGGTACAGGTGGAGGAAATCCTGGAAACTGCGGGGGTGGGATCCCTGGTGGGAGTGCTGGGATCCCCATGGGAGGGCGATTCAAATGAGGGGGAAAAGACATTCTTACTGCAGCAGTCTAAAGAAAAAAAAACATGACAAATCATTTTATTTGAAAACTTCCCAATTTTATACGCTTGCTTTTTTTACTTTCATTTTTAGAGTATCTGCAAAATTCCGAACTTCTTACCCAAAGAAGCAGGCAAAGACTCTTTTTTCTCTGTTCATTGAGAATTCCTAAAACCTAGATCTTTTCTAAAAAGTTGCCAAAATATACACAATCTAAATTCAGGATAGACTCCTAGAACCATGTAGAAGTAATATAAAGGAAGAAAAAAATTCTGAGGTTCAGTTAATATCCAAAAATATCAAACATAAACGAATCTTTTTAGACCAAACTGAGAATTCAGGTGAGCATCTAATAGTCTTTAAGTGTTCTGATACACTCATTTTTTCTTTTGAGATGGAGTTTTGCTCTTGTTACCCAGGCTGGAGTGCAATGGCACAATCTCGGCTCACTGCAACCTCCGCCTCCTGGGTTCAGGCAATTCTCCTGCCTCAGCCTCCTAAGTAGCTGGGATTACAGGCACACGCCACCATGCCCAGATAATTTTTTGTATTTTTAGTAGAGACGGGGTTTCACCATGTTGACCAGGATGGTCTTGATCTCTTGACCTCGTGATCCACCCGCCTCGGCCTCCCAAAGTGCTGGGATTACATGTTTAAAGCTTTTAAAAAATATTTGGTAGCCGGGCGCGGTGGCTCAAGCCTGTAATCCCAGCACTTTGGGAGGCTGAGGCGGGCGGATCACGAGGTCAAGAGATCGAGACCATCCTGGTCAACATGGTGAAACCCCGTCTCTACTAAAAATACAAAAAATTAGCTGGGCATGGTGGTGCGTGCCTGTAATCCCAGCCACTCAGGAGGCTGAGGCAGAAGAATTGCTTGAACCCAGGAGGCGGAGGTTGCGGTGAGCCGAGATTGCGCCATTGCACTCCAGCCTGGGTAACAAGAGCGAAACTCCGTCTCAAAAAAAAAATATATATATATATATTTGTCTCAGCCGGGCGCGGTGGCTCAAGCCTGTAATCCCAGCACTTTGGGAGGCCGAGGCGGGTGGATCACGAGGTCAAGAGATCGAGACCATCCTGGTCAACATGGTGAAACCCCGTCTCTACTAAAAATACAAAAAATTAGCTGGGCATGGTGGCACGTGCCTGTAATCCCAGCTACTCAGGAGGCTGAGGCAGGAGAATTGCCTGAACCCAGGAGGCGGAGGTTGCGGTGAGCCGAGATCGCGCCATTGCACTCCAGCCTGGGTAACAAGAGCGAAACTCCCTTTCAAAAAAAAAGAATGGAAAAATCAACAACAGTAGTTAGGTATCAGTGTATATTAACAAAGGTAAAACACAAGATTGCAAGATTGTAAATGTGCTGAGTTTTAAAATAAACTTTATTAACCAAAAACAAAAATTCTAGGGGTGGTATCTCCTTTTAAAACAGAGGGGGCTACTGTCCTACTTACAGAAGCTCTTCTGTTATCATTCTAACAGTCTATCTCAGCAATTCCTTAGGGTAGTTGGTTTTAATACCTGTTAAGTAAATAAACTGATTAAAATGAACGAATCAGTAAACAAACTCTGAGGACCTCAACAAACAAATTTATTACGCTATCTCATGCTGCATACTACATATTAGCAATGGCCCAGTATCTAGCCTTACTATGGTTACAAGACTGGGCCATGAATTCATCTTTAGAACCACTTTTCCCCCACTAGTATTACATATAAATAATGCTTAAGGCTGGGCGCCGTGGGCCTCGCCTGTAATCCCAACACTTTGGAAGGCTGAGGCAAGCTAATCACTTGAAGTCAGTTCGAGACCAGCCTGGTCAACATGGTAAAATTCTGCCTCTACTAAAAATACAAAAATTAGCAAGGCCTACGGTGGTGGGCGCCTGTAACCCCAGCTGCTCAGGAGGCTGAGGCAGGAGAATCACTTGAACCCAGGAGGCAGAGGTTGCAGTGAGCCAAGATCACACCACTGCACTCCAGCCTGGGCAACAGAGTAAGACTCTGTATCAAAAATAAATAAATAAAACTCTATATTCCTAGTATTTAAGTTATATTTTATGGTTTTTAAATCTGTACTTCAGGTTGGGCATAGTGGCTCACGCCTATAATCCCAGCACTATGAAAGGCCGAGGCAGGTGAATCATCTGAGGTCAGGAGTTCAAGACCAGAGATCAATACCCGCCTCACCAACTTGGCGAAACCTATCTCTAGTAAAAAATACAAAAATTAGCTGGGTGTGGTGGCACGTGCCTGTAGTCCCAGCTACTCAGGAGGCTGAGGCAGGAGAATCGCTTGAACCCAGGAGAGGCAGGTGTTGCAGTGGGCCAAGATCACATGACTGCACTCCAGCCTGGGTGACAGAGCAAGACTCTGTAGTTTTAAAAAAACAAAAAACTGTAATTTATTCTGCATATATATTTAATTTTCGTTTATGCCAATATACCCAGTCCATTCACTTCAAATTTTACCATAACATATTCCCCTTTTGTTTGGAGCTGCCAAAACTTGCTTGTTCATAGGATGGACTTCAAAGGTAAAGGCAAAGATACCAGTTAATAGCTAATTTTTATAGATATTCCTTTATTCCTTTAAGATAATCGGCCTCTCATGGAAATTCAGAAAACATTTCTGGTGATCTTTGATAAATACAAACGTTCACTTTAACCAGCCTAAAATTAGATTACCAACTACTTCCTTCAACACAAGTTTATATGTTTTGCCAGGTGAAACTGATTGAGAAAATTTTTATAATCATAAACAAAGCTTATCTGTTGTTACCTATAGATGATAAACAAAATAAATTATAAGATTGAAAACTGGGTGGCCGGGCGCGGTGGCTCAAGCCTGTAATCCCAGCACTTTGGGAGGCCGAGGCGGGTGGATCACAAGGTCAAGAGATCGAGACCATCCTGGTCAACACGGTGAAACCCCGTCTCTACTAAAAATACAAAAAAAAATTAGCTGGGCATGGTGGTGAGTGCCTGTAATCCTAGCTACTCAGGAGGCTGAGGCAGGAGAACTGCCTGAACCCAGGAGGCGGAGGTTGCGGTGAGCCGAGATCGCACCATTGCACTCCAGCCTGGGTAACAAGAGCGAAACTCCGTCTCCAAAAAAAAAAAAAAAAGATTGAAAGCTGGTATGTGCTTTGTAGAAAAATAAAGCAGGTAAGATATCTATGGTGTAGTTTATTTTAAATACAGAGATTAGGCCTTCACAAGAAGGTGAAGATTAGAAAAAAGATTTAAAAGAGGCAGAGGCAGGAAGCCCTATTCATATCTGGGGGAAAGAGACTTGCAAGCAAAGGAAAAGACAAAGAGGCTGAGGTAGGAATGGTGTGTTTGAGGGAGGAGTAATAATAAGGCCAACATAACGACTGGAGCAGAATAAATGAAAGTCAGAGATAAATACTGAGTATTACTTGTACAGTGTAGGGCTATGTGACACACTGTAAACATTTTAGTTTTAACTCTAAATGAGATAAAAAAAATATTTGAAGAGTTTCTGACTTGTCACATTTTCACAGTATCACTGGCCACTGTGTTAAGACTGGAAAGGAACAGGATAGAAGCAAGAGACTAGCACAATAATATAAGAGATGGCCGCCTGGAACATGCGTTAGTGGTAAAAGTACTATTAAGTTGTTGGATCCTGGATATACTTTGAAGGCAGCCAACAGGATTTGCTGAGGGATTGTACAGTATGTGTGATTTAAGACAGAGAGATGCAGAGTTATTAGCACTGAAATTATTTCCATAGCATGTTTTAAAATACTGAAAGTACCTCACTTTCAGAAGCACCTTTTCCTGCTAAGTATGAAACTTTATAGCCCAGGATAATAAAAACAGGAACGTGGGCCAGGTACAGTGGCTCATGCCTGAATCTCAGCACTTTGGGAGGCCAAGGCAGGAGGATCACTTGAGCTCAGGAGTTCCAGACCAACCTGGGCAACATGGTAAAATCCCATCTCTACCAAAAATACAAAAAATTAGCCAGGTGTGGTAGCTTACACCTGTGGTCCCAGATACTCAGGAGACTGAGGTGGGAAAATCACTTGAGCCTGGCAAGTGGAGGTTTCAATAAGCCAAGATCACACCACTGCACTCCAGCCTGGGCGACAGAGCGAGGCCCCCCAAATATTAAATAAAACAAGAACCTATGATGGAAGCGTTTGCTATCTCTAGTGTGGCGGTGGTCACACAGGTACATACATTTGTCAAAACCCAATGTAATTAATTGTGTGCAAATTTTATCTCAAGAAATTTGGTCCAAAAAGCAACTCTGGGGGCATGGGCTGGGATTAAAAAAAAAAAAAAACACCAAGGCCGGGCACGGTGGCTCAAGCCTGTAATCCCAGCACTTTGGGAGGCCGAGGCGGGTGTATCATGAGGTCAAGAGATCGAGACCATCCTGGTCAACATGGTGAAACCCCGTCTCTACTAAAAATACAAAAAATTAGCTGGGCATGGTGGCACATGCCTGTAATCCAAGCTACACAGGAAGCTGAGGCAGGAGAATTGCCTGAACCCGGGAGGCGGAGGTTGCAGTGAGCAGAGATCACGCCATTGCTCTCCAGCCTGGATAACAAGAGCGAAACTCCATCTCAAAAAAAAAAAAAAAAAACACCAAAACCCTGAAGACCTAGCTCTACATGCACACACTCTGCTTTTCTTTTTTTCCTCTTTACTGTTTCAAACCATTCTTTTTTCTGCACCCTTGAGAATACCGCAAGTATGCAAAATGTAGCAAAATACTGCTTATAAGCATTCCTCTATGGTAGACTTACCCAGACAGAAAAAA